AATGAAGCTGATTTCAATGATTAATAATTTTGAAATGATTTCTCGCACGCCTGAACATCGTGAGAAATTGCATCACCACCGTGAGATAATGTGCGAAACATTTATTTTTTTTTACAAAAAGTAATAAATAAACCTGTTCCTTTGATTGAAATCCCTGGGTACGTAGTCGTAAATTACCAAAACAAAATATGCAAAACACGTTTCACTATTTAAAACAATTGCACGCCTTAATTGTTTATACTCGAGTGCAAAAACTAAAACCATGACAAACTTTATTGTTTTTATTAAAATTTGATATATAGTGCTAAACTAATTCCTACATTTTCTATTATAAATAATATATAATATATAGAGCTACATAGCACTATTTGTTTGCTACTTTTTCATGCATTTGTCATCGTGCAAACTCTCAAACCATGCAACAATTATATAGCGATAAATGCTACTAAATTATACAAATTCCTTTGTTTAAATGATATCTGGCGCCTCTTTGACTATCAAACTTTACTAGTGAAATTATATTTCACGGGTTTAAAATGAATAGACTGTAATGAAGTTGCATTAAGCTAATGTAAAAAAGACTACTAAAGAACCTTGAAAGAAACAAAATCACTTGATTGCAATTCTAAGTCCATTATGTGAATATACTTTGATTTTATTGCATTTTAATGTATACGCATCAGTTGGGATAATTCAAAGTAACCTAATTAAACAATGCCATCAATAGTCTTGATGGAAAGGAAAACGAATATTTTGGTTTAGGTTGTTTGATAAAATGACTTCAGAACCATGAAAATTTAATTACGAGAAAACGTTTATTGCGTATTATTGCTGAAAATTATCATACACGATACTGGCATTGCTTTCTACACGGTTATGAGAAGTGAAATTGTATTGGCCATTCCGAAATTCAAAAGGAGACTGCGAACGAGTGTGAAAATATTATATTCATCGAAAATTGAAGCCCATCACATGAAAGAAAGTATTCTTGTCAAGTTTGAGCATATTTGGTTGAATACTCACTGAGTAGGATTTGTTTCAAATTTGTGAAAAAAAAGAGAGAATGTATGGTTTTGGGGACGCTGCTCAAGACCTCCATATACATTCTTTGTAATTTTTTCGAGTTTGAAAGAATTGTATTCAGATTAATAATTTCAGAATTTCAAGCGTTTCAATACTTAGCAGCTTTACTAATCTTTGTTTCATGCTCTTTCTGGTCCTGGTGTCTGCTTTTGATTACTTCAAACGGGATCGAGTTTGTGACTAGTCGCCAAGCCCTTTTTGACTTTCGAAACGGGAAATTGGCGAGAAGGCTTAAAAAAGATTCATAAACAAACTTTAGTGACACCTCTTGCTCTTAAAAAGAAGTATGATGCATGATTGTTGGTAGAGTTCTTGATTTTCAGCTTATATAAGCACAATGGCCCGGCCAGTCATCCAAATATTCCAATGTCATTTGAATTTGGTTAAACAAGTTCGGACAACAAGAGTTAATTCGACGCCATCGCGCGTCATTTTCAAGAATAGTTTATTAGATCGATCACTAGCTTTTATATGTTATTGAATATATTACAGATATTATCCAAACTTATTAAGCACAAACAACTAAATCATTTGAATTGTCACTTTATTTGTTTTTTTCTTCTTGCTTTTGTATTAAAATGATATGCCGAAGTAGAACCCGAAGGTAAGCTGTGCTTCAAAACGTCACTTTCATTTTGAATGCATGTTCAACGCTCTTGCTAAACTGTGCAAGGAATTGTTATTCAATTGACCTATAGCATAATGACGTCACAGTATGTTTACATTGTAGATAGATGCTCAGAAAGACTCGAAATTTGGATCGATTAACATTCTTTCCGAAAGTAGAACTTTATTAGTGTATCGAGTTTTGATGTACGTCATTTATCAATGATAGCTCGTCTACATTTTATTTGATATGCAGTCACTCTGATCCACTCTGGCGACCATAATCCTCAGCGTTAAAACAATGGAATGTTTTGGTTGACGTAATTATGCGATAGGGCAATTGTAATCTTCATCATAAACGTGTCACTTTATTATTTTTGCGAAAGGAAACAAAATTTCACGAGCTTTAATTAACCAGTGGTTATTATTTATTGTATCTCGTGACGTGGTTAGCAAGCAAGTAATAAGTCGTCTTTTATAAGAGCAATTATATTGCAACCGTTGAACATACTTATTCGTTGTACAAAGGCATCTTTACAACGACAATTTTGGGCAAACAAACCACTATAAGCATAACAATAACAATGAAAACCTGTTTATTTGTTTCTTTTTATTCTCGATTTAATATTTTGTATAGTGATCTGTAGGGTTGATAGCCGAGAAGAAAAGGAACCTTAGCAGCGTAGGTGCCTATTACAATGACATCGCTTCATGTAGGGCAGAAAGAAAGAAAAACGTCGAGACAGCGCATTATTTTGGAAGCCCAACTACATAGACAATGCGCATAATCACTCGAACAAAGCACTTGATTTGCTATTGCAGAGTTCTGGACGCCAACTTAACGGCCACCGTCAAAGCTTGCGTTATGATCAAGTGTTGTCCATAAATGCTGACTTTGTGCTTTTTTGAAAGGAGAGAAGTATGGGAAATCGCCGCGCGCCTGAATTTTCCCGTGAATAGCAAATAGGTGAGTTGAAGTCGCTGTTCTGCTAAAAGCGCGCTAGTATAGCACTGCATGTCACCAAGACATAACATCGCTTGCGCTATATAGTAGCAAGACTACATGAGTGTTGTCAATGCAAATAGCCCCTAAACAACACGTCCGTGAGAAGTGATCTGTAGGGTAGAGAGTCGCGAAGAAAAGGGACCTTAGCAACTTAATTTTTACTATTTATTGAACGTTTCGGGTATTCGAAGAGAAAAGTTTCTATTTAGTTTCAACTATTTCATAATGGATTTCATTAATGAAAACGAATAACAGCAGGTGACTACAATCAACAACATTCGAGAAGTTTGTGGATATATAGACTTAACTACAAGTCTTATCATTACTGACAAGCAAGGGGACAACGTCCAAAGCCGGCGTTTTTATGGACAATAACACTTCGGTGTAACTGGTAGGTTTAAGAACACAAGAAAATACAAAAATTTAAAATACTCCAGTGAAGGCGAGGGCAAAGAATACGCCCTTGTTGGGCAATGGAAAGAAAAAACAATATCGAGTAGGAGCGCTTGCGAAAGACCAGGGCTATTGAAGCAAAGAAAGCGTTTGACCTTCCAACAGAACGGGATGATCCTGATAACTAAGGCGAGATTGTAGGAACAGCTTCGTCCTGGCATTGGTCAGTCGACTGACAAATTCCCGCGAGATAAATCAATTAATTTGGAATGAGACTAGCATTCATTCCCATTACAAAAGATTCATTCTCAACATGCAATAATAGGTATGATATGATCTGAAATCTAAATCGGTATGCAGCATAAAAGCTATTCGTGCAAAATGTTCTCTTTTTTTTTTGGTTCGCCATTTTGGAAACTATTCTATAGTTTCAGGCTTGAACATGTTCCTTCGACTGGCAGAAACAATACTCCATTTTACAGTTCCAGGCGCCATCTTGAAAGGTAGCCGAGCCTTTGCATCAAGGCAGTAGTTGAGCTTGCAGTGATAGATACCTGTGAATAATTGTCTTAAGTGTGAACAAAAGGTATCTATCATTGCAGACTCAACTCCTGTCTCGCTTTCATGCAAAGGCTTGGCTACCTTTCAAGATGGCGCCTGGAACAGTAAAATGGAGTATTCAGTATCATGCTCTAGCCTAGCAAAGGGTTGCATCTGGTTGAGTAGGAACAAATAAACTTTTTTATAAGGGAAAGATGAGATCAGTGATTAATCACAACTGTACAGTTCAATTCTCATGGATATATGTTCACGCCAAGATTTCACAACAACTCGAACGTATCTGGCCGAGAAAGGAGGTCGTAAAATATTACATACGACTGTGTTCTCGTCATTGTTTGCTTGGAATACCTGAAATTAACAAAAAAACATTATACAATACAACAATTTATATTGCCTTACATACTATCATAGCTCGACCCACTTGTCCTGCACTTGTTGAAGTTCTTAATCAACCGTAGACGTGGAAGAGGGTTTTGTGCAGTAGCGAAACAAAATTAGCAGAATACTTGCGCATAGAAATACAGAGCAGCGTTTTCGATTCAGAATAAAGGACAAGGATATTTGATGATATTTATAACAAGGTGGGGGGAAAATACCTTTTCGACTCCATTCTCATTTGCGCTGTAAGTTGTCCAGGTACTTTGATCACTGCTATAATGGATGGAATATGCAGTTACCCACTGTTTTGTGTTTTGCCTTCCCTGCGTAGCGATTTTGCAAATGGTTGTGTTAGTGCCGATATCGACCTCCAAATATTCACCAATTCCTAATCGTTTGGCAGTCCATGAGCCGCCCTCAAGATCACTATTCAGCCTTCCGTACTTCGGTAATAGATAAATGGAATAATGTGAAGAAGCAGTGATTTGGGAATCAGGAATCCTTCCATCTTCCATCCCAAGAGAATGATACTCTTTGATATAAAATACAATAAATGGTTATTGAAGATTCTACTTATCAAATTAGATGACATTTGGACACGTCACTTATTGTTCAAGTTTTTTTCTCACCTTTTTCGCAGTTTCTCCCATCAAAACCTCGTCGGCAGTTACAGGTGTAATCGCTGATGGTGTAGTTTGGAATACAAACACCTTGGTTCTTGCAAGGGTTGGGAAAACATGCCGTCTTTATTTTAATTCCAATGAAAGGAAAATGAAATTTGTAAATTAGTTTCTTACTTCATAAGATGTCAACAAGAAAAGTAACTATTCGAAAAGCGTTCTTACCTTGAGTATAAAGTGAAGGAAGTTGTCCTTATTTTTGAGAAGTTGAGAATTGTTCAAAATGTTTGTATCCAGCAATTCGCACAACTGCAGTCCACTTGAATTTGGATTGTTGCCAGAATTTAAAGAGACGCATTTCCGATCTGCTGCACAGTCTACTAGACACGCTTTGTATTTTTGGCCAAGAACAACTTTGAAGGGTTTTACGTCCAAATATTTGTTTGGCATTTTAATAAAACGAGCGAATCCAAAGTTTTCATCTCGAATATTTGATGTGTTGGCTGCATTGAATTTGTTCACAATAGCCTGAGATTCGGATGGTGCAGAAAAATATCCAATGAACCAAAGTAAAGACACTAAAATTGCAAACTTCTTTGACTTCATGACTAGTCCTTGTAACATCATTCCCCTTCTTCTTCATAAGTTTTGTCACTCCATTCATATTTGATGAGGTAAATTATGGTAATNTTGCGGCCAGATTGGGGTGATCTTTCGGTGGTGGAATCCTGCGTATTCTGCGTAGTTTGCAAAGTCTTTCCCATTGAAGGGCGGGCCATTGTCTGTCTTAACGATTTCTGGTATGCCTTCTCTCGAGAAGATGGCATCAAGTTTTGGTATCGTCGCTCTTGCCGATGTAGTGGTGATCAGCTCGACTTCGGGGAAACGGCTGTACTCGTCTACCACGACAAGAAGATATTCGCCAGAAGGAAAAGGTCCTGTGAAGTCGAGCGCTACCTCCTTCCAGGGTCCTTGGGGAAGTGGAGTCATCTTTAGCGGTTCAGGGCGAGACTGGTTGCTTGGTCCTGTCGCAGCTTGACATGACAGACATTTCTCGACTTTGTCTTTTACCATCTTGTCGATGTGTGGGAACCATACCTATTCACGTATGAGCTGTTTGGTTTTCACAATCCCTTGGTGACCAACGTGTGCGAGATCGACTGCTTTATCTCGGAGCTGGTGAGGGATTGTGATTCTGTTTCCTCTAAGTACCATTCCGTTGAATGCTGCGAGTTCGTCCTTAACATTTGCGTACTGCTTTACGATTGGATCAGTCCAATTGTCGGTTTCGATTGCTTTCAGCAATGACTGGAGTTCCTGGTCTGTCTTAGYGGCGGTTTTGATCTCTTGGAGTGTCATTGCTTTAGGTACGGCGTTGGTTGTGATGTAGTTGACATAGCTCTCTGCGATACTAGGACTTTCTTTTTCCGCCGATGGATGTCTACTCATGAAATCGGCAGGGTTGTCTTTGCCTGGTTTGTAGATAAGCTCGTAGTCATAAGGCATCAGTCTCAGCCTCCATCTCTCAATTCGAGCTGACATTGGTTTGTGACTCTTGAAGATTCCAAGAAGTGGTTTGTGGTCTGTGACGATTCTGATGATCCGTATAGATAGAGATGAAAGTGTTCCATTGACCACACAAAAAGCTAGCATCTCTCTTTCTGTCTGAGAGTATCTTTGTTCTACATCAGTGAGCGCACGGCTGGCATAGCTGACGACTTTTCCGTTCTGCACTAGAAGGGCGCCGAGGCCAAAGGAGCTCGCATCCGCGATGACCTCGCTGTCGCATGCAGGGTCGAAGTATGCCATAACGCTGTCTTGTGTAAGTTGTTCCTTTAGTTTGTCAAACGCCTGTTGCTGCTCGTCGTTCCAGGTCCATGGGACGTCTTGACGAGTTAGTTCGCCCAATGGTGATGTGATCGTTGCATAACCCGGGATGAATCGCGATACGTACTGAGTCATGCCAAGTAGGGATCTGACTTCGCTGGCGGTGGTTGGTTTACTCATGGTTTTGATTGCTTCTACTTTGCATGGATCGGGTCTCACTCCTTCGCTGCTGAAGATATGGCCATAGAAACTGATCTCGCTCTTTGAAAACACACATTTGTCCTTGTTTAAACGAACGTCATGTTCCTTAAGTCTCTGGAGTACTTGCTGGAGGTTCTGGTCGTGCTCTTTCTGGTTTTTCCCGTATATGATAATGTCATCAGATATGTTCCTGCATCCCGGCAAGCCTGTTAGGATCTGTTCGATCGCATTCTGAAACACTTCTGAAGCGGCATTTATGCCAAACATCAGGCGYTTGTAGCGTTTTAGTCCAACGTGCGTGCTGAACGTCGTTATGTGGCGGCTGTCAGGATGGAGCTCAAGTTGGTGGTATCCTGATGATAGGTCGAGTTTGCTAAAGACGGTTGCACCGTTGAGGTCGGCAATTAGATCATCCATGGTGGGCATCAAGTGTTYTTCTCGCTTCACTGCCTTGTTGGCCTYCCTCRTGTCGAYGCATAGGCGYACTTCTCCAGACTTTTTAGGCACTGTTACAACAGGGCTCACCCATGGTGTGGGACCACTAACTTCTTCGATGATGTCTAGGGTTTCGAGTCTTTCTAGTTCCTTCTCTACATCTTTGCGGGTGTGAAAAGGGATCCTGCGATGTGGTTGTTGTTTAGGTTGTACATCTGTGTCGATRTGGAGCTTTATGACYTTATTCTTGATCTTYCCTATRCCATCAAAAAGGCATTGATATTCTTGGTTRACGTGTGTCSATAYATCTGTGGTGGTGGTAGTTTGGTTAACGATTTTRAGCAGTCCAAGCTCGAGCGCGGTATCCAGACCTAGAAGATTTCCRTAATTAYCGCTGACCACGTGTACGAGTGTGTTGGTTTTGGTATGGTTGTGAGATTCGATTGTCGCTTCGAMAGTTCCTACTAATGGTAGYGGCGCCTTGTTGCCGTAAGAATAGATTCGATGCTTACTCGGTTGTAGYTGCTTGCGTGAYGCGTTGTAGATCTTTTGAAACGTTGGTTCATCGATAAGGTTAACAGAGGATCCGGAATCGATCATGATTGTTACTTTTGCTTCATCTATKGTGACTTCGCMCATTGGTGATTTCTTGTTCTCTGATGGATTTCTGATGGTGTAGGTGTAGTCCTCGGTGTAGTCTTCGTATGCTTGCGTGACATCCTGTTGCGTGACATATTGCTCTCGAGTGACGTTCCTGACGTGGTTTCTTTGGTTTGGTTTCGATCGGCAAACTTTGGCGAAATGATTTAGCTTGCCACATGAATTACAAGTTTTGCCCTTAGCTTTACAAGGGGCGTTTTTGTGCGGGCATTCTCCCCCACAAAGTCCACATTCTTTTGGTTTGGTTGGTGAGTAGCGTGGCGATGGTGTTCCTTTGTCGGTTTGCCTGTCTTTTCTTGCTCTGTTAATGGCGGTTTCTTTGATCTTATCGCGTTTGTCTTCGCTTCGGGTTGCTCAACTTCTCTCGCTTGAGTTTCACTTACTTCTAGGGCTCTCCCAGCCTTGAGGAGGTTCGGTAAATATAGTTCTTCACGAAGAGCTTTTCGTCTTAATGCGTTCGATGTGCAGTTGAGTATGATCTGTTCTTTAATCTCTTTGTTTACGTCGGGAAATTTGCAGTGTTTTGATAATTGTCTCAGACGTGTGTGAAAACTGTCTAGTGATTCGCCGTTGTTTTGCTTCGCTTGTCTAAAGTTGTAAACTTCGTACGTAGTACTTGTCTTTGGTGCAAAATGTTCATTCRGTTTTTCGACGGCTTTCGTGTAATCCTTGTCTTCGCCAGTGTCTTGTAGAGTGTCAAAAATTTCGTCGACTTCAGGGCCGGCGTAATGTAGAAGCATGGCGCGTTTCTGAGCAGCGTCTGTGATTTTCATTGCGGTTAGGAGTCGTTGAAATCGCTGGAGCCATTTCTCCCATCTTAGTCCTGCGTTATTGTCGATGTATACTTCGAAAGCTGGAAAGGTTGGTAGGTTGATAGCCATTATCTTGGTTGTTTGGTTTKATTATTTTGATCCTCGTCGCCAGATGTGGTGTCTTCTGATGCTCGATTTATTACACTGCATAAATTACATCATTACATGTGATTGTACACGTGAACACTACAGTAACAAGTCAAGGTCAACCTCGGTCTCATGCCAACAGCCATACATTTCTTTGTAAATTTTGCCGWCTTTTAAACGCTGTTTCTCCTTGACTTTTCATCGAATCATGCTMAARCCTSGTAAACATACTAATTTCATACTGTTCTTTCCAGTGGTGGTAATAGTTTTTCGATATTTGCTCAATTTCTAATAGCTGTATTATCCGCGAAGTGGACTATTGGATTATTTTAGTTCTTTACAGTTTTAGATGACAATGTACTCAATGCAATTTTTCATCATTTGATACTTCTAAATCCTGACTAAAGTGTAATTTACAGTCCAAAAATGTCAGAAATGTTTACCAAGGGATACAAGTTCATGTAGCTCAGTTTGCAACTGCAATACAAAAACAATTCAAGCCCGTCTAAAGAATGAAGATTTCCAGTGCCATCTTGATTGTCAAGCAAGTAAAACTTTTACAACATTTTATGCCAGTTCTATGCTAGAGTAAGACTTCAAAAAGTTGACAACCACCAACCAGAATCAGTAAGGCAGATACAAAGTTCCTTTGACCGCTCTTTGAAGGAGAAAGGCAACAATGGAATGATTGTGAAGGCGATGAAATTTCTCAAAATCACATGGCATCGATCGTCTTTCCTCGCCGATGAATGTTTTACGCAAAATTGTCGATAAACACGTTAAAAATCCATCTCAAAGACCCTGCAGCAATTCTTAGATTTTCTTTGCGGCAGGCGAAAGAGGCGGCCTCCATAATTTAATCTTATGAGGACTCAAAATGAAATAAAACTTGAACAAAAACTGCTCGTTTGAAATTTGTCAAGCTCCTCGTAGTTTTCCTCGAAGTGAATTAAGGTATCAGGAGGGGTTCATTTTAGACATCTTTTCAAAAATTTTTTTTTTCTTTAGTTGGAAAGAATATAACATCAACTGTAATATTAGTTTTTAAAAAAGTTGATTTCGATTTTTTAAACGCGATTTATTAATGAAAATCAAAATCGTGACCAAAACTCCTCCGGAAACCGATTGTCATCACCTAATTAGGCAATCTGTCATCAGTATAAGGTTGCCAGGCCTCCTCGTGGTAATACTTCATCTCGCACTTCGCGCTTCCTAGCAAAACAACATTCTAATAGTRATTATAAGCCTTTCCAACGTGTATATATTTATAAATTTCGATCTTTTTAATTGTATATAGTCAATATTTTATAGTTTTCTTGTAAATAGTTTTGTTGAATGTCGTCTCGGAAGCGAAAATCTCTCTTTACTTCGTCGACGAAGGCCAAACGACCGTTTCCAGTACATCGAAGGTCCCTTCTGGCAGCTTCGGATAAAGGGTCGTATTTTTGCCAGGAAAAGCAGTGGCCCGAAGAATTTGAGAGCAAACAACTTGTCGGGGACTTGTTCCGAGCTCGCTTCCCCCGTTCGCTGATTGTTGCCTTCTTCTTCTGGGCATGGTTATAGACTCGTTATAACACAAATAATATGTAATATAGAATCGAAGGTACTTTCTTGACCTTTGCCGAGAATGATTGTAAAGCTCTCACATTACTATACAAAGCCAGGAACATATCCTGAGAATAGCCAGGCATAATGACATGATGCTGACAGATCTGAGGTGTTGTGTAAACACCCCTGTGGTTTTCTTGCCCAAATGTATAGACACGTTTATCTGGCGTTTTTGAAACGAGAAAAATCGTACATTTGAAGCGCTCTAACTTTTCMGCAATAAAAGATTTTGTTTTCAAAATTCGCAAGAATAGAAATCCAATCTGGAACTAAAAAACGGTGTCGGCGATTTTTGATTTTYGCTTTCGTTGTTTAGATATTGCCCAGTTTGTACACTGATACACGGTAAATTCAATGATCAATAATTGGGACTCTGTAGCGGCTGATCTAAAGCAGTGATGAAAAATCGCCGACACCGTTTTGAAGTTTAATGTATAAGGAAAGTGTTAACGTGGTTTTCATTGCTAAGACGGCAATCCTGACAATTTTGAGGCAATTCAAACAAGGTCCGGTCAAAATACGCTTTAGGCGGAATATCTTTATGGCGTTTTAAGTTATGAAAATTTCGAAATAATTTCCAAAAACTACATTTATTTAGCTTCTTAAAAATATATACTTTTAYTGAAGTATTTTACAAAGCCGGMGCGTAATTTGCGTTTGCGTGAGTAGTGGTCGTGAACCCCTCCTGATACCTTAATATGACCTGTCAGTTTATGAATTGCAAATGAGATGTAAAAGACTTTCCGATTCCGGTTTTAAAAAAACACGACTGTCTTTTTTATTAGGTTTTCAAAATGGATATAATTATCATGAAGTGGTAATTGAGCTCTGTGTCGTGCAATTTTGGTCTGAAATCAAACTTGCAATTACAAATTGCACTCCAGCTTCGCGGTCGTACGATTTTGTAATCGCGCGTTTGATTTCAGACCATATTGCACTCCACTCAGTTACCATTATTAATATATTGTAATGTAGCAGGAACACTATAAAACCACATGCAGTTTTTTTCCTGAATCAAGATGATTTTTCTTATACAGCCAACTATATTAAATTCCAGCTTGTATGAACATCACATACATCATCCAAAACGTATTATTTAATGTAATTCTCATATGTCTTTACCAATAAAAGAAATTTTGCATTCTATAATTATATCAAAAAGGTTTGGGTAATGCAAGGCATTCTTAAAGAATAGCTCTTTTAGTAGGAAACAGTCTTAACAAGCTGCTAACGATGTTCTTTGCTACTTTCTCAAAATGAAGCTGCTCTATGCCTTACATACTATCATAGCTCGATCCACTTGTTGCAGCTACGGTTCTTAACCAACCCTAGACGTTGAGAGGATTTTGTGCGGTAGCGAAAAAAAATTAGCAAAATACATGCGCATACAAATACAGAGGAACGCTTTCGCTTCAAAGTAAAGGAGAAGTATATTTTATAATAGTTATAACAAGGTAGGGGGGAAATACCTGTTTGACTCCATTCTCATTTGCGCTGTAAGTTGTCCAAGTACTTTGATCACTGCTATAGTGGATAGAATAAGCAGTTACCCACTGTCTTGTGTTATGCCTTCCCTGTGTAGCGATTTTGCAAATGGTTGTGTTAGTGCCGATATCGACCTCTAAATATTCATCAATTCCTAATCGTTTGGCTGTCCATGAACCGCCCACAAGGTCACTATTCAGCCTGCCGTAATTTGGTAATAGATAAATGGAATAATGCGAAGAAGCAGTGATTTGGGAATCAAAAATCCTTCCATCTTCCATCCCAAGAGAATGATACTCTATGATATAAAATACAATAAATGGTTATTGAAGATTCTACTTATCAAATTAGATGCTACCATCAGTACAGCGTTGACATTTGGACACGTCTCTTATTGTTCAAGGTTTTTTTCTCACCTTTTTCGCAGTTTCTCCCATCAAAACATCGTCGGCAATTGCAGGTGTAATCCATGATGGTGTGGTTTGAAATACAAGCACCTTGGTTCTTACAAGGGTTGGGAAAACATGTCGTCTTTATTTTAATTCCAACGAAAGTCAAAGGAAATTTTGAAAATTAGCATCTTACTTAATAAGATATCAACAAGAAAAGTAACTATTCGTATCTAAGCGTTCTTACCTTGAGCGTAAAGTGAAGGAAGTTTTCCTTATCTTTGAGAAGTTGAGTATTGTTCAAAAGGTTTGTATCCAGCAATTCGCACAACTGCAATCCACTTGAATTTGGATTGTTGCCAGAATTTAAAGAGACGCATTTCCGATCTGCTGCACAGTCTACTAGACACGCTTTGTATTTTTGGCCAAGAACAACTTTGAAGGGTTTTACGTCCAAATATTTGTTTGGCATTTTAATAAAACGAGCGAATCCAAAGTTTTCATCTCGAATATTTGATGTGTTGGCTGCATTGAATTTGTTCACAATAGCCTGAGATTCGGATGGTGCAGAAAAATATCCAATGAACCAAAGTAAAGACACTAAAATTGCAAACTTCTTTGACTTCATGACTAGTCCTTGTAACATCATTCCCCTTCTTCTTCATAAGTTTTGTCACTCCATTCATATTTGATGAGGTAAATTATGGTAAT